AGCAAGATCATCCTGGCTAACACGGTGAAACCCCGTCTCTACTAAAAATAGAAAAATTAACCGGGCATGGCAGCAGGCGCCTGTAGTCCCAGCTACTTGGGAGGCTGAGGCTGGAGAATGGCGTGAACCCGGGAGGCGGAGCTTGCAATGAGCCCAGAATGGGCTGTCAGGGTGACAGGGATATTTTAAGGAAGCTGATAAGTCGGGGCTCAGTAATCCATTCAATTTCCTGTGCTCTCCCTCCCCACTTGCCGTACCACATTGCATAGAACTGTGAGTCAATGTCACAGAAGAGGATGCCCACATCATGGGACATGTATTTGAGGTGTAGGAGCAAGGAGCCCTGTTACCTTGTCTCTGCACAGCTCAACCCAGATGGGGTAGACATTTTTATCACTTAACATTATTTAAAAAGCACTGCTACTACTATGTTAAAAAAAGTATCCATTAAAAATTTTTTTTAAATACAGATAATTCTAAAGAAAAAAATAAAATTGCTCACACCCGTACTTTTTTTTTTTTTTAACGATAGGATCTCACTCTGTCACCCAGGTTGGAATGCAGTGGTGCGATTATGGCTCACTGCAGCCTTGACCTCCTGGGCTCATGTGATCCTCCCACCCTCGTCTCCAGGGTAACTGGGACTATAGGTGCACGCCACCATGTCCGGCTAATATTTGCATTTGTTGCAGAGATGGGGTTTCACCATGTTGCCCAGGCTGGTCTCGAACTCCTGAGTTCAAAGTATCTGCCCATCTCGGCCTCCCAAAGTGCTGGGATTACAGGTGTGTGCCAACGCACCTGGCCTATCCACATATTTAACATCTAGAGGACCACTGTTAATATTTTTTAGGCCAGGAGTCAGCAAGCTTTTCCTTTAAAAACAGATAGTAAATAGTTTTGGCTTTGTAAGCTATATGGTCTCTGCCATAACTGTTCAACTCTGCCGGAACACAGATGAACTCATAAACGATACGTAAATGGATGGGTGTAGCTGTGTTTTAGCAAAATGTTACTAATCAAAATGGGTGAATGGCTGTAGTCTGCCAACCTCTGTTCTAGTGAGTATCTTTAAGGACTTTTTAAAAAAGTACAGGCATAAATGAATCAGTTAACGAATGAATGAAAAAAGAAAAAGCCGGTCACAAAGGCTCACACCTATGAGCCATTTGGAAGGCTGAGATGGGTGGATCACTTGAGGCAAGGAGTTCAAGACCAGCCTGGGTAACATGGAGAAACCCCGTCTCTACTAAAAATAAAAAAAATTAGCTGAGCATGGTATCATGCGCCTGAAGTCTCAGCTACTTGGGAGTCTAAGGTGGGAAGATTGCTTGAGGCTGGGAGGTTGAGGTTTCAGTAAGTATGATCCACCCACTGCACTCCAGCCTGGGTGACAGAGCAAGACCTTGTCTCAAAAAAAAAAAAAA